ATTTAAATAATTTGTTTTTCTCTTTATTTTAGTAAAACAATTTGTAAGCCAAAATACTTCTAGTTTGTTAGAAAGTTTTTTTTTTTTCATATCTTTAATCATAATTATCATAATATAATTATCTGGAAAAGCATGTATGTATGTATATCTGAAAAGAAGCATTATAATTACTATTTTATGTATAAATTATGATCATTTCATTTTTAATGTTTTTTTTTTTTAAAATATAGAAATTATTCGATGTTTATATAACACGCATATATTATGTATATCAATATAATAATGTACATATTATAATTATATTATATATGGATAGAAGACATACAAACATTTCTATATTTTATGTAATTTTACTAAATTATGTCATGTTTATTAAAGCTCTCATTAAATTTTGGTTTTTTTTTTATTAATTTTTGGATGTTTTTTTTTTACTATTTTAATTCTTATTTTTTTTTATATCTAAAATACTATTTTTTAACACTTAAATTCTAGTAAAAATATGTTTATAAATTTTGGAAGCTGGATTTTCATTGATTTTTTCATTTTAAATAATTACAGATATATTTTTATAATCATTTTTTTTTATTTTACTTATTATGTTTGTTTCTTTTTTATCTCTTCAATTAACTATAGATACCTATTATTTTTTATTTTATTTTTTTTTTTTGTTTGCACGTAGTCCGCTGCTTTCTTTTCTTAAGTTTTTTCCTTAATTTTTACAAAATTTTTACTATATATATATATAATATATTTATATATTTTTTTTGTTTTTTTTTTTTTTTAATTTTTCTATTTTTAAAAAAATAGTTTGCAAAAAAATATAGAAATTAATTTTATATAAATTTAATAAAAGTATTATATTTGATTATGTGTGTAATTAATACTCGGAGCAAAAAAAAAAAAAAAAAACAAAATAAAAGAAATGGGAAAAAATTTAGAAAATTATGTGTATTTTGAAAAGAAAAAAATTAATTTTATTTAATAAAAAATTTTAGAATTTTTTATGCATGCACATAATGTATATATGATGTATATATATGTACATATATTATGTATGTTACAAATACATGTTTACTATGTAATTAAAGATTGAAAATTACATAATTCACATATTACTTACATACATCATACAATATTATTTTGATTATATAATACATAAATAAATATAAAGTAAAAGTTTATAAAAGATGTGTAAATTGTATGTATATTTAAACTGTTATTTTTTTTTTCGAAATCACCATTATTATTATTATGCGCAAGGTACAGAGAAATATGTAATTTTAAATTTCTTTTAATATTTGTTTTAATATTCTATACTTTCTTTTTCAATACGTATAGAATAATAAATGAATTTTTTTTTTATATATCTATATTTATTTTAGCGAAAATAATTTCTAAATTAAATTAAAATATTTTAATTATTATTTATTGCAATTATTTTTTTATATATTTTCAGTACTCTTATGTTTTTATTATGTCATATATGTGACGATATGAGATGAATTTTTCATACATTGTACGGAAATGAGATATGTCAAAGACATTACAATCAATAATATTTTAAAAGTCTTTGGATCAACATGAGCAATATAAAAATATTAAATGTAATTTTAATATAATATCATATTGGAATATAACAACTTAAAGGAAAGTAATTAAAATTTTTAATTATATTGATTATAATACAAATTTAATCGTTTAACTTTTTTTTTATAATTTAAGCAAATCGAAAATAATTTTTGATTAATAATGGAATTGCAACAAATATTTTCATTGGAAGAGTTTTCGTATATTTAAATACTCTTTGAATAAAATGTAATGTACGTGAAATTTGTACAATTGGAAGTTTTATTTCATAAAAACATACATAATATGAAATATTTAAATAGTTTTTGCATTTATATTCATTTGTGTAATGATAATGAAGAAGAAAAATTTTGGCATATATAAAAAAAAAAACGAAGAATTAAATAACATAAATATTTATGTATGTTTGAAGATATAATATTATAGTAGTAATATGAAATTACATATTAATTTATACAACCTTCTTTAATTCTATTTACATTTTATGTAATAATTTATAAAATAGTTAATCATTTTCGATAAAATATAATAGATATATGAGGATATTATTAATAACTAAAATTTATTTATATACATATATAAATATATATGTATAATTTTTATATAATATAATATTGTATATTATACGATAAATTTTTACATATATAGGATAAGAAATTTTTAAAAAATTTTCTTATAAAATTTGAAATTCCTCAACCTCCAAAAATATTGCCATCGTTTCGGTTTTATATTTTACTTTTTTTTTTTTAATTCATGTTTTATTATATAATATTATTTAGTTTAATTATATTTATATTAATTTTGTTATTTTTTTTTAACATTAATTAGAATTATTTCTTTTTCTCTGAATTGATTAATTTTTTAGTTTTTTTTTTTTTAATATTTTTTAATTAAAAAGTCCTGTTATACAAATACTATTCTTGGTTTTTTTTGGTTTTTTTTTTTATTTTAATTTTTTTTTTTGAATACAAGATTTTATTTAAATTTTCTTATAAAACAATTTTCGTATATTATGATTTTCTTTGGTGTTACTGTATTATTTTTCGTTTTTTTTTTTTATTTTCTTATTTACTTGTAAAGAGTACAGGCGTTCAAAAATTACATATTTATTTTTTTTTTATTTTTATCTGTTTTTTAAAAGAATGTTTTTCATAAAATTTACAGTTATTAATTTTTTAAAAGATATTCTCGTTTTTTAATTTATTTATTTATTTATTTTTTTGATACTTTCTATTTTATTGGTATAGTAAAAAAATTTTATTTTTTTATAATTTTTTAATATTAAATTGAATTTAACAAAATTTATTTGTTTTTTTTTTTTCAATTGTAAGCTTTAAAATATTTGGAATTGCTTTGTTAATTAAAATTAACAAAAATAATTGTTTTTTTATTATGCTAGTAACTTTGACGAATTTTTAGCTTTTGTGTTGTGACATCATATTAAAATATTTATAATGTGTGTTCTATTTCGAATAATTGTAAAGTTTTTGATTTATTGTAAATCAGATTTAAAATTTTATATAGATTTTTTTATAAATACTATTTTTTTTTTTTGCATAAATACTATTCTTTTGTATAGCAAAATATTAAAAATTAGCTTTAACATTAAGTGAAAGCTTAAATATTCCCTTTTAAATGTAAAAAGAATTTTATGATAAATTTGGCAAAAATTTTAATTTTTTAAAATTGAATTTTAAATTTTTTATCATCATTAAAAAATTTTCATTTCTCAACGAATGCAATTAATTTTTAGTGTAAAATTGATTTGGAAATGTTTTATTTCTCCTGTATTAGAATGTAATTATTTTTAATACATAATGTAAGTGGAATTTTAGAATTATGATACTAATTATAGATTTATGAAATTATTTGTTTTCAAAATTTTTTACATTATGTGTTGCTTTATTTGAAAATTATATATTTAGATTAAGATGATATTTTTAATTATTTCCAATTTAAAATTAAAACATTATAAAAAATAAAATCGAATACCTAGTATATATGTATGTTAATGTATATTAATTTCTTCATATTTAATATAACAAAATTGTCTATTATAATAGTATAGTTATTAATTTTTTAAAATTATTATATTTCGTTTCGATTGAAATTATTAATATTTAAAAATACGTTTTTGACTTGGCAATTTTTTAGTAGGTTTTTCTTTTTTTTTCATTGTGTTTTTTTTTAATTATTTTATTAATATTCTTTTGGAAGGACATTTCTCTTTTTATTATATTCAATTCAAATGTTTTCTCTTTTTTGTTTTTCCTTTTGTTTTTATTTTTTTTATGTTATTTTTTCATTTTTCAATAGTTTATACATTTAGTTAAAAGTCATTTCTTTCTATTTGATTTTACTTTTGTTATCTTATTGTTGTTATTTGATTTTGTTTTCAGAAATAACGAAAAAAAAAACGGAAAATAATCGAAAAATGAATAACGAAAAATTCCTTTTAGTGTTTTTAAGCTATTCGAATTTTAAACAAGCAATTTTACCTATACTTATTTAAATATGAGTATCTTTTTATCTAAGTGTACATATATATATATATATATATATATATATATATACATATATATAATATATTATATAAATTAAAATTTGTTTATTTTGAAATAAATTTTAAATAATTTAATTTTTTTCTTTTCAAGTACAAAAAAAAAAGAGAAAAGGCTTAAAACAGAAATTTGACTATTGGAATATTTTAATTTTTCTACTTTTTATCAATCTAAAAAATATATGTATGTATGTTTTGTATGTTAATATCAAATTGTTTTATGCTATAACTTTTAGACCTTCCTTAATGTTTTAAATTACATTATATGCATTAATATATCGAAAATGAACTAAATTGAGAATTTTTTTTGTGCTTATGTGAAATATAAATGCAAAATATTTTTTAAGAATGAACATTTAATTAAATATGATATGCATATGCAAAAATATTTCAAGTGATTTAATAATCCATACAATTTTTTAATATTATTCGTAAAATTTTTTTAAGTATATAATAACGAGCTTTAATTTTGCTCATACATTTTGCATTTTTTGTGAGCATATTATTAAAAGTGATAATATAATGTTAATTTTCGGATAAATTTAAATTATTTGATGTACAACTATTTATAACATTATTGCTATTTAGAATTTTTGTCTCATTATTTATGAAATATGTAGTAATTTTTTGCGAACTGATTTTTATAATGTTACTATAATAAAGTGAAGCAATATTTAAAGACGTGATCATGAATGAGAATAATACTATAAATATATAAGTATTATAGTAATATGTGAAAGCGAATAAATGAATTATTTTATTTTATGTACTTGTACAAACATACATATATTAATTAACATTGTATCTAAAATCAATAAATACTTCAAATATACTGTTCGAAATGTAGGAAGTATCAGACCAATAGTCTTAATAATTAAAAATAGAATTAAGTTAATTTAATTTAAAATATAAAATACTACTTTTGTGTTCTGAAAAATGTTTTTTTTTTGTTTTTTATAAAAATTAATTATTTTATTTACTTTCAACTTGTTTTAAGCGTTTTTCGGTTGATTAATCTTAATTTTTTCTTCGTTTATTTAATTTGAAATAAATAATGAAATTTATAACTCTTTAATTTCCTTTACTGCTTACTTTTTTTTTGTTTTTTGTTTTTTTTTTTTTTATACATAATGATTTAAATTTTTGCTTTTTTTTTTTTTATTAAACAAAAATAGTTAAATATTTTGCTTATATTTCTTTAAATATAATAATAAAATATTATTATATATGTGTTTTAATTTATTGTTGTTGCCATTTGTTTTAATTGATTTACGTTGTTTTTGTTTTATTTGTTTTAAAACTAACTTGTAGCACACGATTGCCCAATGTATAACCATTCAATGATTGTATTGCAACTACAGATTCATCATAATTGGTCATTGTAACGAATCCAAATCCTTTACATTTATTTGTTTGTAAATCACGAATAACTTTAACAGATTGGACGGCACCAAATGGTCCAAATAGCTGCCAAAGGACATTTTCTTCTGTTTCAGGAGCCAAATTGTAAACAAATAAACACCATCCAGATCCAGCCATTGCTGTTCCTGGTAACAAAGAGTTTGCTAATAAATCACCGGCCAATGGTGAATATCTGCATATTATAAAAAGATGGAAAAAGTAAATAAAAAGAAAAAAAAAAAATGGAAAAAAAAAAGGTGAATTATAAATATTGTTTTTATTTATATTGAAATTAAATTTTTTTTTTTTGTTTATTTTATAAGAAAAACATTTTTTAACTTTAAAATGTATAGAAATTATAAAGTTGTGAATGCGACTTATAGTACATACACTTTTAAAATAAAATATTGAAAAATAAAAATGGTAATTCTCTTAATGATCTCTTAAGTTAAAATCACGGAAAAATTTTTTCTCACAAATAATAAATTAAAAATTTTTTTAATATTTTTTATTTTTAGATAAAACGTGATTTATACTATGACAGGATCATATTAGAAAAGAAAAATAAAAAATTGTGTATTTAAAAATTTTTAATAATTTGGAAACAAATAAAAATTACATTAAAGATAATTAAATTGAACTGTTATTTAAATATATGTATATATATAGTATTTATAATACAAAACGTAAAAAAATTAATATATATATATATATATAAATTTACAAATAATTACAGTTAAAGAACTACCAAAAAAAAAATTTTTTTTTTTTCATATTTATAATTATATTTAAGGTTTGTACGAAAATTATAAATTAAAGTGTTTAAATATATATAAATAACATTAACATGACTATTTTATTTGTTTAAAATGAAATATATATATAAATACATATATGAATATGTGTAAGGTGTAAAGGGTGTTATTTTGATATCATGCGTGTTAGTCTTAAATGTCTTTTATTTTAATTTCTTTCTTTTTTTTTTTTTGTTCATTTTAGAGTATCAGGAAAGACTTCATCAAAAATGTTTTGTATTCCTTTTAATTCAAAAATTGAAAAAGAAAAAAAAAATAATATTGTACATAAATATATATTTAATAAAAAAAATTAAATAAAATGCAATTGCCATTATTTTGAGAAATAATATTTTGTAATATATTATTATGTAAATAATTTGTTTAAATAATTTTTAAAAGTAAGATTTCTTAATATATTGAAATATTTGAAATTTTATACTTAAAATTAATTATAAGTAAAATATAATGATCGTATAATTTCAAATGTTTTACATTAATCAGATTAAAAAAAGATATAAGAAAATTTAATACGTACATTTATAACGTAAAATTAGAATATTTTGGGTAAATAAATGAAATTTTGTAAAGATTAAGAATTTAATAGAAAAAATTTATATTAAGTTAATTAATCTAATATATACAAATGTTTACGCAAAATATTTGTTTTTTAAAATAGAACTGTAGTAATTTTAAATTATTAATTTGAAACGACTATTGAGCTTGTTGCTCAAATTTATTTTATAAAAAAAAATAATAAAATTTTTTTTATTTCACTGATATTTAAATTTAAAATTTTTATATCAAATATTTTTAATTTGACAAATTTTGCATTTTGAACAATTTAGCAAAAAAAAATTGAAGTGATGTTGCAATTAAAAAAATATTTAACAGATTGTTCTTAAGGCTTCATCATTCTTAAAATTATTAAAACTTTCATCCTTTACAAGATTTTTGATTTCTTGTTCATGAAAATTTATATCTCAAATTTTGAGATATAAAAGAAAACAAATGCATTCCAAGTTCGAGATTTTATAGTTTGAAATAAATCATTTTAAGTGTTGTATTTTTTAAATGTACGTATGTAATTTAATTAAATATAATTTTTTAGAAAATAATAATAAAGAGGATTTATGATGTAAAAAGGAATTAGAATATTGACTAGAACGTGGTACTCAAAATATATAATTTAAATTTTGAAATGGACTGTTAATAAAAATTATATTGGCAAAATATTTGAATATTGCAAAAAAAGAAAACAATAATAATTTATAATTTTCAACTTAATTTTCGGTCTTAAGAAATTATTTTGTAAATTTATTCTTTTAGTTTCTAAACTATTTAATATATTCAATTTTGTTTTTAATTTATTCTTTGTTTCTTTTTTTTTTTTGAGTGTTGTAAAATTAAATTTTATGTAATTTATAATTTTATAATTTTATATTTTTGTGTTTATGTTTATGATATTGTTTGTTTTTGTATTTTACTATTATATAGTATATGAGCTAATTTCAAGATGCATTTTTGTAATAAAATAATTTTAGATAGGTTTAGTAACTTTAGTATAAAACAAATTTGTAAACATAAGAAAAACTAAAAAATAATTTTAAGAAAATAGCTAAACTTAAATATGAACTAATTTAAATAAATTAGAAAATAAAAGGTGATACAAAAAAAAGAAATATAAAAAAATTTTTTTTTTTTAATGAAACATAAAAGAATTGTTACAAAATGCTTGGAGAATTTCTTTTCATTATTTGAGAATAATAAATATGAAATGATATATTTATTTAGGAATAAGATTATTAAATAAATTGAAATAAGAATTCAGATTTATTGAGAATTGTATAAGAATTTGAAATACATTAGTAAAAGTTTTCTAAAACTTTTTTATTTAAATTAATTAATTTCCCTATATATGTAAATAGCAAAATTTGTTTGTTTTTGTTGAAATATAAATAAGAAATTTAAAATTAAATATGCTTGTTTTTTCCTTAACCTATAAAATTATTGAAAATTTTATGTTTTTTATTTTTATATTTTTCAAATTCAAAAAAATTTTTGTTTTAAACTATTTTATAAAATAAAATAGTTTTAGACAATATTTCTTTTCGCATTTCATAAGAATCAAAAACAAAATAAAAAAAATTAATTAAAATTAAAACAAAAAATAAAAAATAAAATTTAAAACAACTCATTTAACATTCAAAATTTATAACGAATAAAAACAAAGAACACAAAATTAAAAATTTAATATTAAATAACAAAGATTAGATTAATTTTATAGATTTTTTTTTTTTGTAATAATAATACAAATAATATATATTAAACAAGAAACAGTAGAAAAATAAATAAAATCACCTTTGCAAACCCTTGTTAATGGCTAACATCGGGCTTTTTCCAATGCTATAAAATATAAGAAAAAATATAAATAAAAATTAAAACCCAATGTAACTTTTCAAAAAATTAAAAATAAAAATAATTGAATAAAAAAAAAAAAACAATTAAATGAATTAAGAAAATATAAGATTCAAATTAATCTTAAAATGAAAATAAGAAATTATTTTAAATGAAATAATTTAAAGCATTTGCATATTATTTTAATATCGAAGAGAAATTAATAAAAATAATAATGTTTCATGCATTACGTAAATATCAAATACAGTTTGCAAATTCTGTTGTTTTTATTAATTATTTTATGTATAATGTTTTGTTTATTTAAAAGTTTATATAACTCTGTTAGGGTTATATTTTATTTTTCCAATTATCGCAATCGAGCATTATTTTTTATTATATTGAAAAGATTTTAGCCTTAATCTGTAAATTTTATTGAAACAATATTTTACTAAAAGCTTGAATATGATATTATTAAAAGATGGGATCTGAAATTGAGTTGATAAAAGGATTTGATTTTAATATGCGAATGCTTAAAATTTAATAAACAAATTAAAAATAAAAAAAAAATTTTAAAAGAAAAAAAATTGTTTAATTTTATTTTTTTTGAAAAAGTAAAAAATTTGGCAATTAAAACAAATATTAAAAATATTATAAATTTTTTAAAATAAAATTATTCAAAATGTTTAAATTTTCATTTAGTTTTTTTTTAAATAATTTCTATTTAATTCTTCTGATATTAAAAATTTTTTTTTTTTTGTTATATTTTTATATTTTTTTGTTTTGTTTTCAAAGGAACGTAGATATTTTCAATTTTCTTTCCTGAAATTTCATCCAAAATCTCGTTATACAAAATGTTATAATTTTAGATATAATGAATTATATATATTTTTCTTTTGATTGAATTATTTTTAGAATTAAAAAATTAGTAGTTTTTTTTGTGAAAACTATATAAAAACGAAATAAAATAATATGTGTTAGTATTTAAGTAGAAAATTTAGAATTAAAATAAGATTTAATGATAACTTATTTAAAAATTTAATTGTATATAATAAAATATTTTTAATTTGTAATTGTATGTATATAAAAATAATTTTTCGAGTCAATTTGGAATAATAATTATAAAATTAATAATACCTCTTCCTTTTAACGAATTTCTGTTATTAAAATTCGAATTTGTTAATATTATTGTTTAAATAAGTTATCTTATATCTAATTCATTTGAAATAAATTTTCACCTTTTATAAAAATAAATGTTTGGTAATTATTAATTAAATTAACGAATACAATTATATTGTTTTCTTGATAAAATATAAGTAATTATACAATGAAAAAAAATATATATATATGCATGTATGAATATTATATATATATATATATATATATTTTTTTTTTAATAAAAAATGTGATCAAAAATGAGCATAAGTGTGAAAAAATTAGTTTAGTGTTTCAGATTAAAAAATGATCACCATATAATATATAATAAGTATATTATGCGTTTTATAAATTTTGTAGGTATATATTATACTTCTACCATTGTATTTATATATTTTTATTTAAAAAATATATTCTTTAAAATATATGTATATTATTAGTATTAACATGCTTTGTAATAAAAAAAGTTCACAGAGATTAGAGATGATAATTAATGTTTTATTTTTTGTTTTTCACAAAAAAAAAAAAAACATTAATTAAAATATAGCCAACCATCTTTTTCGAAGATATATATAAGTAATTTTAATAAATATTTCAATTTATTAAGATAATATTATATGAATATAAGTATAAATACCAAACATTCATTGTAAGATTTGCTTAAGTTGAAAATTAAAATAAAATTAACAAAAAAAAAAAAGTAAATGAAAATCAAAGAAAACAGAAAAAAAAACAAAGTTAAAAAAAACGGGATAAAAAATTAAAATAAAAAATTTTGAGTAATATCGCGGGGCTTAAAATTTGTAGATTTTCATATAATATATTATATATATATATATAATATATATTATATATATATATTGTATAAATAATAATAAATAAAAACTTTAAAAATTTTTTCGATAAAATTTAGCTTATAAAATATTGAACACAGTAATAGCTTAAAAAATTTATTATTATTTTTTTTTTTTTTTATCACTGGTAATTTAATTTCTAACCTTAACCTTCCTGCTGCTGCAGCAGCTGCTGCCGGTGGAACAGCTGTTGCTAAACGCCTTTGTGCTGCTTGGGCAGCAGCTGGAGTCAAATATGCTGCTAACGGTGGTAATGCCTTGTTACTGGTACTTGGATTATTAGCAAATTTAACTGTTATCGGATCAGTACATGCTTTTGGTATTTTTCCATTCAATTCTTGGATAGCACGTTCAGCTTCATGACGTTGATCAAAACGAATGAATCCAACACCTTTTGATAGACCTAAAAAATTAGTTTTGGGTTTTTGTTTTGTTTTAATTTTATTTCATTTTACATAAATTTTTATAAAATATAAAAATTTCTAAAGAAAAAATTTAAGAATAAATAATTAATATAAAAACGAATTAAAACAAAATAGCATTAACAAAATGATTTAAAAATATAATGAAAAAAAAAAAAAGAAACAAAAAATATTTACCATCAAGTTTCACACCAGCAATAATTCCTGGAACTGATTTAAAAAATAAACAAAAAGAAAAAGAAAATAAAAAATTATAACAAAGCAATAAAATTATAATTTATATCTGGCAAATTTTTTTTTTCTTTAATTATAAAAGTAAAACAAATTCGTGTAGAATAAATACAAAACAAAATTGTTAAAAATCATAATATTTTAGAAATAGAAATTTTTCAAAATAAAATTTTTTTATAAATTACCCGAAATATTATCACAGAGTATACGAGATGTAATAATCTTTCCATATGGTGAGAACATTGATTCAAGATCTGGTTGTGATAAATTTTTGGGAAGACCCGAAACATATAAATTAGCACCCTTAATTGATTCAGAGCTGGGACGGGCATACGATACTTTGATAATTTTATTTTGCAATCGGAGGCCATTTAATGTATTTATTGCTTTTTCAGCATCCTCAGCTCTTACATAGTTAACAAAGCCGTAACCCAAACTCTGACCGACTGAAAAAATTTTAAATAAAATTATAAAAATGAGGGTATAATTAAGAATAAAAAAAACAAAAATATAAAAATTAAAAAATAATATTAAAAAAAGAAAATAATTTAAGTACAGTTGTTTTTAAACAAAATTTGTAACTAATAGAAATTGTTCTTGTTTATATTATTTTAGAGTTTACCAAAACGAAATTTACTTTTGTATTTAATTATGTTTTGTTTTGCTATATCAGATAATTTTGTTCTTCTACTACTACAATTCAGGCAATATTTAAATTTTGAACAATATCATAGTTTTTTTTTTTAATTAGTGTGCATTTAATTACAACAATTAAGAAAGTAAAAAGAATTTATTGTGCACTAGAAACGAAAATTTTAATTATTTTATGAAATTATATTTATTGCCAACTAAAAATATGTACATTTATTGTTAAAATCAAAAATTAGTTGCAAATGCGACTATAACAAAAAATAATATAATATTTTAGCAAACAACGTTTAATATAGATAAAAAAAAAATGGATAATATTTAATGTTATAATTATTATAAAGTATTGAAAAACTAATAAATTTTTCTTTGAATTTAATGTCATAAATAAAATTGTATTGTAAACATTACATATTTCATACTGTAAGAACCTTTTAGAATATTCAACAAAAAAAATTAAAAAAAATACATATATAAAAATTTAAAATAGAATTATTAAGTAATAAATAAATGTGCACATCCTTACCTTGCTGAAGAGCTGGGTTGAGAGCAGTAATTGAAGCTGGTAAAACTGAAATAATAAAATATTTATTGAAAATAATTGTAAATAATAAAAATATAGTACATTTATATTTGTATTTTTTTTAAATTAATATGAAAAAATTATTGTTTTTTTTTCTTTTCGGGTGCTATAATAGAATTTACTTTTTTTTTTTTAAATAATATCATTGTGTATAATTAAATTATATCATTTTGTTGTTCTATACAGAAGACAATATTTGTTATTACGCAATAGAATTACTTTTTTGGGGGTTCGCTCTTTAAAAAAGAGTAGTTCTATTGGGTAATTAGCAAAATTCTGTTCTAATAATATTAATTATAATAAAATAATTTTTATATAAATTTATTTAAAACTAGCTTTAAAATATAAATTGAATGTTTGGTTTTGAATTATTATAAAACTAGTGAAAAACATCATAAATTATTAGAATTTATTCAAATATTAATGATAAGAATATTTTGAAAATAAATTAATATATGTAAAATTTTAAATTACAATTAAAATAAAAATATATTTAATAAGAAAATTATTTAATTACCAGTTACTTTATCACGAACTAATTTACAGCTCTCTAATTCACCAATACTTGAGAATAATGATCTCATCTCCTCTTGGGTCATAGTTTGTGGTAAATAATTAACAATTAAATTTGTTTTTGAATCATCCTGATTACCATCAACGGATCCGTTGGCACCACCATTTTGGACTACAGTCTCCATTGTATTAGTCATTTTGAATTTTATTTTAATATTTTTTTTTGGTTTTTTAAGTGTTTTTTTTTTTTTATCGAAATTTAATTTTATTTCTATATTAATTTAAAAAATAATATTTATTTTTTTTCTTCTTTTGCTTTAATATTGATGATAATTTTAATGAGTGTTTTTTTTTTATATATATATAAGTATATATATATTTAATAAATATAAATATAGTTTTAATTGTTTTTGTTTAATTTTTTAAAAGGAAAATTAAAAGAAAAAAATTGTTTTTGTTTTTTTTTTCTCACTTTCTTTGGGATTATTAATAAAAATATTTATTAATAAGTATATATATATATGTGTGTGTGTACATATATATTTTAGAGTTTGAATAAATAAATTTTTCTTGTTTTATATATAATTTTATGTTTTTAATTAAAGTTTTTCTTTTTGAACTAAAAAACAAAATTATTTTTAATATTTTATTTTTAATATTTATATATATATATATAATTTATAGAAGAATCACTAACTCTGAATTTGTCTTTTGAATTTTTTTATATCGACTAGATAATTTTTTTTGTTTTTGATTGCGCTTTGCACAAACCCCAAATTACTATAAAATAATTAAGTATTTAAATAGTTTTCTTTTGTTTTTTTTTTGTTAACCTATTAATTTTATTAAATATTTATTAATTTATTAAAAATTATTTATTATATTAAAATAATTTAAAAATTTCTTTTTTTTTTATATTTAATATTAAATGATTTTTTTTTTCTGTTAAATTATGATAGTTTTTTTTTTTTTATTTATAATTTCATTTCCTATAAATTTTCCTAACAATTGTTTATTATTTTTTTTTCTGGGTTTTTTTTTTGTATTTTTTTTAATAAACTTAATTTATTTATTAAATTTTTATATATATATATATTTTTTTTTATATAAATATTTGCTTTTGAGTTTATTTCTTTAGTTATATGATATAATTATAAATATTAATAATACTTTTTTTGTTACTTGTTGTTGTGATTTTTTTTTATTTTATTTAATTTTTTTTTATATATAAATTCTATAAAATTGCAAAAAATGCAAAAAAAGACAGCAAAATTACACTTTTATATTTTATCTTTTAATATTTTTTTTTTCGATTTCACTATAATTTTTCATTTATGTAAAAATTTCAGTTTTATTTTTATTTTATGGTTTGGTTTGGTTTTCTGTGGAACTTTTATTTATTTTATTAAATCGGCTGATTTTTTTTATAGTCTATATTTTTTTTTAATATATAAACTTTTTTTTTTTTAAATTATTCACATTAGATTTAATTTTTTTTTGGTGGAAATTGTGTTTTAGATTTGTTTTAATTAAATATGATTTTTTTTTTTTATTAAATTTCTTGTCTTCTTTTTTTCTTTTGTTTGTGAGGAAAACTCAATCTGGAAAAAAAAATATAAAAAAAAAATTTCCATTAATTAAAAGTTTATTAAAAATTAGAAAATTTGTGTTACAAACAATATATTTTATATATTAAAATAATTTACTATATTTTTAAAATTTATTAAATTTTAGAATTTATTAGATAAACAGAAGCATTTAAATAAGTTTTAAACTTTTATATTTATGCAGACTTGTACGCACATACAATTAATTTTGTAAGGACTGATTGTTTAATGTTCAAAAAATATATGCCCAAAAAAAAAGAGCTAAACAGTGATTATTTTCTTTAACTTAGTCTATAAGGCAAAATTGATCTATTCTATACTATGTATTTATATATTGTTTTCAAACTTGTATAATGTAGCTGCAGTCATAGAAAAAATATTAACTTTTGAAAATTTTGAAGAACTAAATATAATAGAAGATGTATTGTGTCATTTAGGAATATTATTTTACAATAAATTAATTTTAAAAAATTAAATAATAATTTTAAAAATTATAATATACTAACGGTACTTTATCATTTATAATATTTAATTAGTTTATATAATCATATTATTAATTATTATCGTAAATAAAATTTTACGAAAATATTTATGATAAATTAGAATTTTGCAAAACATTTCTTTAAAAATTAAAATAATTTTTATTGCCCATATATTTAAGTTCATTAAGTTTGTATAAAAAGTGTAAAAAATTTAAACATTTGGAGATAGCAAACAGAAAAATATTGTGCAAAATTATTGAAATTATACATATATAATTTATTTAATTTTATTATTATATTTAATTTTACTATTCTTATATTTATTATCAATCATAAAAAATATGCTATAAATTTTTCATATTTCTATTTTTTATATTATATGCTTCATACATAAAGCATTATTTTACAAGAAAAAATTAATATTCTGAAGAAAGAATATCAAATATTGTATTTATTTGTAGTAGTATGTATGTACTTAATTTAAAATATTTGAATGGTTTTATTAAAATTATAAAAAAATAAATGTTATAGGTCTAAGTCTAAATATTTGGTATTAATAAAAGATTCTTCGTTTTTATGATGCTTTGGTTTTAAAAACTCGTCATTTAAAAAAAAAAAAATTTCTTTTTTATTTAGAAAAAAAATTGTTTTTAATTTAATTAAATTTAATAATATTTAATTTTTATTTTTCAATTTATTTTCAGTTTTATTAAAGAAAAAATCTGTATACATTAGATGTCATTTCATTTGGAAATTTAACAAAGGAGTACAGTTTATTTGAAAAGTTCAAATATGAATTATTTTATTAAAATTATTAGAAATAAAAAAAAAATCATTTATTTATAAATGTTATAAAAATATTAATAATTATAAAAATTAATTTTTCTAATAATTGTATATGTTTTTAGGTTGGAAATTTTGTATAAATCTATGTGATATAATGAATTCATTGGAATTAAGAATTTGCTGTTCTGTCTGGTCAGAGGATAATCTTATAATAATAATTAATAATAATAATAATATGCTATAATTAATGGCCCAAACATATCTATTCAAAATTAAATTAAGTTTATCTTAATAATACTAAATATTGTAATTTAATAAACCATGACTTCCGAAACGCAGCATAAACAGTTTTAATACAGTTTTATAACAACAAAACCGCTTCATTGTATGAAAAATCAGTTTTAATTTCTTCTCTTCACGTTCTGTATTCGATATACATATGTATTTTAGTAGTAGTGTACAATGTCTTTTAATATACATTTTGGAATGTGATACATTGTAAATTTTACTGCGTTTAGGAAATCAATAAAGTCAGAATGTAAAAATTTAATTGTCGATAAAATAATTGAAAAATTTTGCAATTTCTTCGATATTGCAATAAATTGAATTATTAATATTTTTCATTATAAAAGCATTTTTTTTTTTTTTTTAAACAAATTTGTTAAAAAATTAAATTTTTACATGATTTACACCCTATACTTATAATAATTGTATTCTAAAATTTTTATACAATATAAATTTATACAATTTATGCATAATGTTCTTCAATGTTATAAAAACTAGGATAATATTAATATGTACATATACATATATATATATATATATAACCATAGCAAATATAGGATAAAGGAAAACCGATAATGACTTTTTCAAACTATATACAAACATATATGTACATAAATATAAGATATAGTTAATATTATTAAAAAGAAAGAATAAAAGAGAAATATAATAATATCATATATGTATATGTATTGTAATAAAACAAAAAAAAAAAATATCAACAAAAAAATATTAAACAATATAAAGAAGATTATAATAGTAAGATGACAAAATAAACTAAATGCATCAATGATTAAGGGGATAAAAGAATAAAATACAAAAAAAAAAAAAAAAAAACAAAAAATCCTATAATATATTTACTATATCTATACATATGTATAATTGTATATTTGGAATGTATACGATAAGCTATTTTTGTTTTTTTTTTCTCTCTCTGAACTATTAGCCTTAACATACATTCAATATTATAAAAAGGATTTTTAGAACTAAATATTTATTATGTTACTTGTTTTATCGTATAGCTATATAAAAAAAAACAAGGAATATTATTACTTTAATTTCATTTTCTCTATTTTATCACAATAATTTCGGGTCATTCACATTTTACATTGACATATCCTTGACTATATTATTGTTACGTATGTATGTGAAAATTACTTTTATTTATACTATCATATAATATAATAATTTTATATATAGATTATATTTAAGTATTTAGGTATATATATAAATATTTTATTGTATATGTAAAAGAAAAAATATGAAATAGAATATTAGGAATTTTCTAGTTTAAATGCAAATAACAAATTCATATAAGAATAACAATAATATTAGTAAGATTTACACGCAAGTGAATATAAAATAGATAAAATTAAAGTAAAAACCTAAAATAAAAACAGGACACTGAACTATTTAACAAAAAACAAAAATTGAATATAAAATAACATGTTTTCTTTTTCTTTGAATTTTTACTTTTTAAATTTAATAAATTTATGATTGATATGCATGTACAAACTATATCTATATATAATATAAAAGTGTAAGCGTTAACGACTTGCATTTCAATAAAAAATATTATTATCCTTCAAAAATATATTACAATATATAATATTTTTGTCCTTTTTTTTTTTGTTTTCATTTTTGGATAATTTATAAACAGACATTTATTTGCTTTGTTTATATATATATATATATATATATATACGTGCATATATTAAATGAAAGAAAAATTTTTAAAAATATTTACGACCCTCTGTTTGTTTCATATTTATTTTATTTTAAACTAAAACAACACATTATGCTTCTTTTCTCATATTTTAGAATTAAAATATTATAAACACATATATATATTTATATACTAGTATAACCCTGTATACGATACATAAATGTAAAATATATTTTATACCATTTATGGGATATCCTTTTTTAAAATATTCGTCTCTTTTCTTTTTTTTTTAACAACTAGGATATCATAGTTGAAAACTATTATAAAAATACGAGAGTTAGAAAAAAAAAAAAAGGACAAAAGGAAAATATTCAGTAACTGGCCAAAATTTTTAGTAGTAAAAAAGAAAATGGGTAAATTTTTTCCTAATATAACCACAGGAAAAGTTCATTGCCCTTTTGCGTGTAAACTGCATAGTGTAAGTGTATAGAAACGAGATATAATAAGTACTTTGTTAGGTTTATAAAAATATAAAAATGTGTATATGTATTAAAAAAAAAAAAAAAAAAAAAAAAACATTTTGTCTAGGATAGAATTTTTATTTTTTTTTTTTTGTGGGAGTAAAAATGA